ACAACTGCATGCTCGTCTCGGCACTTCAGAACACCGTCGAACCCAGCGGGCAGACGGGAAGACATCCATGTGGCGTGCTCCTTTGAGTTCTGTTCCTGGATTGGTGCAGGGAAGATCATGGACTAAAGTGGCCGATCGCAGCGACCACTGAATACGACAAACAATTTACCTAGGCCCGACACTGATAAGCCACCAACCCTTTTTTTTTGCACGTGCGTATTGATTGAACAGCATCATACTCGGGTGTATCTATGCTGTGACTACGAATTGCTCCAATCGTGGAGAAACCCGGGACTGATCCAGTGGATGCCAGCGGGGAGAGAGGGACTGATTCGCACCACCAGCCATGGCGAAAATCATGAGTCTCTCTTACTCAACCCCATTCCAGCGCTACTCCATCCTGGATCGTGTCGTCGGAGCTTTTGGAGGCATGGGCTCTGAACGGCCACGGACATTGGTTATTCGTCCCGAGCCTAGCCCAGTCGGGTATATAGATAGTATTCCGACCCGTGGTTCCAGCTCGCATTGGGGACCTGGAGAGCTCTTGCGTGTGGGCTCCAGTTGGGATCTTGGTCCCGTAGCCGCTCCCAGTATGATGATTGTCTGTGATTCCATTGGAAATGGCGTCACCGTGGAGATTAAGATACAGAAATCACGCAATCAGAGAGGAAGCTCACCGTTCGCCCGAGAAAGTCTGTCTCTAACAAAACTCTCTTTACGAAAGTTGAGAACGGAGAAATAGTGCGAACCCTCCCGACGGGACAGGCTAATACTACTACCTATCTATATATCCTTCTTACTAACCAAATGCGCATAATCGCCACTTCCAAGACGCCAAACATGGGCTATCGAAAATAAGGATGCGGAGAAGCAAATGATGCGCCATTAAACTTGGCCTTGGAATTGGGGTCCCTTCGGAGCTCACGGCAAGCAAGCTCGAATCATCAACCACCCGACTTACTATGTTTGTGCACCGTATACCTGCAATATGGATCCTACGAGCAGCAATTCTCGAGTCAGAGTGGACCAGAATGCAGAATTCAAAACAACAGCATCCGCCGCACGAGGAAAACAGAGATAAGACAACATCGGACCCGATACCTCTGATGGAGTAGGTCTCCCACTCAGGTGATCCGGCACCGTCCGCTGGGATGCGATTGGAGGTACCAATCCTCGAAAGGGCAGGTGGCAGGTTTGTTGGTTCTCTGTGCACGGAAACTTTCACGCCGACATCGCTAAGCAATTGGGATTGATAACAGAGTCATGCAGATATGGATACAAGAATTCGAATTTCTGGGTCGCAGGCAAACCTGCGCGGAATAGCGCGAGGCCAAGGTGCCTTCGGGTGAACTTTATCGCAGGAAGGAATTACTTCCATAGCGCGCTACTCCACACTCCGGGCAGCTTCTGCCAGTCGGAAAGCGCTGTCTCACACTGATACTTCCGGCGGCGACCCAATAGCCCCCTCTGCCTCATGGGTCGTCAGTGTGACTATGCACGGGATAATGAGCATCCATACGGAGAGAGTGATGCGATTTGTGCGATAGCTGCGTCGACCAGTGTCCCAACATGATCGACGGCCGCCCCAGCCTAGGGCCCAGAAAAGGTCTTGGATTGCCCTCTGCACATTGCACCCTTGCGAGTGGGGGAGAGCGGGCGCAAAGACTGACCACTATCAGTCTCAATGAATCAGGACAACAATAGTTACGTGAGGGAATTCGTCTCAGATAAGGTAGGCTTGCGGTTCCTTGGGTCGCAGTGGGATCTCGGTCAGACCAAGCGGATCGCGGTAAGCACTGAACATCCCGAAAAGAACAATGCTCGTTCAGCTGGTTCAGCTTCCTTGGTCAGCCCGCTTCCTCACGGACCAGAGTATTTTTTTTTACCTCTTCGTTGCCCGGTGGTATCAGCCCCCAAGGTCCTGACGTGAAAGGTGCCCGGGCGCGGCGCGGTGCAGACTGCAGAACGTGCGAGTGGGATGGAACCATGGGTCCTTTTTGCATAGTCCTCACGGGTTGGGGCCAAAAAAGGTGGCTCAAACAGTTAATGCATCAGACGATCCATCGGCAGTGATGCTGATTAGCGACGAGGACACGGACATCTGCAGCCTGCAGACACAGCCATCGCGAGAGAAGAAAAAATCTGACATGCACACTACTAATTCGATACTACCAGGTTCCGGCTTACGACGACAATTTGCCCCCAAACCAATGCAGCAGGCGCATCTGCCGTCACTGTATTTAGTTGGTATGTACGGAGTATGCCGGTATCCCTGGACGCGATTGGTTTTAACCGAGCAAGCATCATGCTAGGCGATGATGGCAGTTGAACCCCGACCCTAGTAGATAGGCCCTGGGGCTGGGGTTGGGGCCAGGGCGCAAGGCGCAAACGGATGAGAATCCTTGTCATCCGAACGCAATCAGCCGGCGAAAAGATTCAACTAAGACGCGCACGACGGAGAGAAAAAAGTACCACGGGTACTCTGTACTACCACTAAGAAACAGCCACGCCGACAGAAGGAGAAACAAGGTAAGCATAAGCAACAAGCAATGCAATAGCACAGCGGAATATAAGCATAGGACCGGAGTAGCAGTAAGCAAACGATCTTATACCTCCGACGAATATCACCGATAGGTAGAAAGTAAATACGCTATGATCCAACCACAACCATAATCATATAACCACCACGAGGATATCAAATATCAACATCAAGATAGAAGAAATAAATTCTAAAATAAAACAGGCCTCAGTGGATGAAGTTAAGATCAATCTCCCAGATCAACGGGAGTCAGTCTCTTCCTATCATATATGAAAACATCCAATAATCTCATCATCGACCTGATATATTATATCAAAAGAAGAAGAAGAGAAAAAGAAGATTTCCCACACACCGAAATTTTCACCTCCCCAAACCCGCTTACTCATCATACCTCGACAGAGAAGAGAAGAAGTGAATGAAATCTCGCTTAACCCGGAACAACCAATCATCCACCCTCCCCACCAAACACACCTATAAATACAACCTCACCCCTTCACCCATTTGAAATCCTTTTTTTTCTCTTTTCTTTCTTCGTGCGGCGACGCAACTATTTTCACCCGTGTTGCCTGGACATCATTCTTCTTCTGTGATGTTGTCAAACCCCAGGTGTCAGTTGCGTCACAGACGAACGGAATTGCACACCGGTTCTTACTTTATTGGTCTTTCTGTTTTCTTTTCCCACTAGGATTAGACCATTTGGTTTGGGATCGGACATTCATATTATTATCATTACTGTTGTCATGGATGTATCTGTGTTGATGCGTCGATGGTGGTGGTGGTGGTGTGATTGTCTTAATATAGATTTGTTGGCTGTAGTGTTACTGCTGCTTTCTGTGCTGCTTATGTGTGGTGCAAATTGTGGTGGGAGCTTGGTCAATAGATTTCGTAGATTCTTGAATGTGAATGAATATCATCATGGTCATGAGTTTCGATGTCTTTCAACAAGTAGTAATATGTAATAGTGTTTCTGTTCTGCTCTGTTCTAGTGCGTTGCTATCATATATCTACTCCATGTACTCGCATGTCCTCTTAATCACTCCCCCGGCTCATCACCAATCTTCTCCAACTTACCCATCTCCCTCTTCTCACCCGCCTCTCCAAAGATCCTCACCCGATCAACCCGCAACTTCTCACTATCTCCATCCCCATCCACAAAGAAAATCACCAACGACGTAACACTCTGGAACTTGACAAACCGCAAATCCACCTTGGCCGTACCCGTCTTGGGATCCCAGTCCTCCGGCTGAATCGTAACCGTCTGCACAGCAGGGATATCATCCGCCTCATCGAATCCCAACACATGCGACCGATTCGTATACAACGACACCGTCCGGGGGCGCATCGGCCGCTCATCCTCATCCTCAACCTCCTCCTCCGCTGACGGCGGAAGCGACGTAATCTGCAACGAATGCACCTTCAGCGTAGACTGGAACGGGATGAACAGCATCAACTGCTCGTCTGTATCACTCTCCACCCAATCCGGTGCGGCCCCGGCCTTGCCCTTGGCGTTGTTCAGGGAGGATGGCTTCGAGCTATCGAAGAGTGTCTTGGCCGTGCCGAACTCGCTCGCCCGGTTTAGTAGCTCCAGACCCTTGGGGTCGTATTGGTCCGAGATATCGCTGTAGTTCTTGGGTGCCGGGAGGCCGATCCAGCCTACGCCGCTGCTGGAGCCGGCGTCGTTGCCTTCAGGTGCTTTTTCGGCTTCCGTGGCGAGCTTGCGCACGAGGTCGTTGAGCTCTTTGGCGTTGGCGCCGCGGACGGTGGAGGTTGGGCGGCCGCGCTCGAAGAGGACGAAGGTGGGCATTCTTGAGTAGGGGTTAGTGGCTGTATTGTAGATCATAGGATGTGGGATAGGCACGTACGCTGTGATTCCATACTGTCTTGCGATGTCTTGGTTCTTGTCAACGTTAATCTTCGTAAAGGTGATCTTGTTCGGGCGTGAGAGCTGCCCGGCTAGCTGCTCGTATGCGGGGGCGATGGCTTTGCATGGTCCGCACCAATCTGCGTAGACTGCGTTTGTTTCGATGGGTTAGTTTGCTTCTCTTTGTGAGGTTTGTTTGATTGTAGGAGATGGAGTGACGTTGCGAGTGAATGGGTGGTGATGGTGGTGGGGAGGGGAAGGTGGGGGGACAGCAGATGGGAGCTCACAGTCGGCGACAACAAAGGTGGAGGAGCTCAATAGAGAGCTAAATTGCTCGCGTGAGTTGATTTGCACAAGTGTCGACATGGTGGAGATGTGTGTCGCGTAGTGAAGGGCGCGAAGGGAGATGGAAGGAGGTTGGCGGTGGTTTGGTGAGCTGCGGTGGTGGTTACTGTTAGGGACTGGAGATATATTGCCGATATGTCATCAACGCCCCCGCCGCCCACCTACAGCAGTACTACTGTGAGATGTATATGGTGAAGACTTGACAACTCCAAAATATGACTTATTATGATAAAATGTTTGTTAGGTTATGTATCCGGCAATTTCTATTTTGTAGTCTATACTCTCAACGTTTCTCATATCTCATATATCATATCTCGACTCTGTGGCTTAGGTCTTAATGCAGGTAGACCTGGAGGTGATAGCAACAGCGTCAGAATAAACAATCCTTACCACAAAAATATAAGCATCCAGGGTGCTGCAGCATCAATCCGCAAGCAGTATCCCAACCTCCCTTGGGAGGGTTGACACAGGTCAAAGTGCGACTAGGCCAGCAGCGTCCGCTGCGGCAGGCATCATGGCTCACCACGAGCCTATCCTCGAAGAGTTCTTTGGACGACACAGAGTGTGCACCGCACAGTGCCACTCGTGAGCTTATGCATCATCACCATACCCTGCCAGCTAAGTGCTGGTCACAACGATCGCGACCAAAAGCATCCAACGGGTATACCCCGAGCGAAGAATTCATCCATCCACGCCCTAAGGCGACAAATCCAATCACACATCACACATATCCCACAGCACCACTCAAGTATCCTCCTCATCTCCATCCTCAACAGCAAACAAAACCTTCATCCACAAACTACACCCCCGACAACCCACAACAATCTCCCCATGCTCCGCCTCCCTCTCCAAATCCTGCTCCGTGACCAAAAACCCCCTCTCATCTCCACACCGACACCCTCTATACCACAGCGCAGCGTCCGCATCACTCTCATCGCACGCCAGATCCTCCAGATCCACGATTTCCAGACCCGTATGGAAAACCGTGCCCGTCTTCTCCCGCTCCGCGACCCTTGCACGATCGAGTCGCAGCGACCGATCGTATTCAGCGCGTAGATATGGATCAGATAGTGTTTTGTATGCGGTTGTGATCTCGTCTATTGTGTAGCGATGAGTCGTGTGCAAGGAGGGGTTTGTGTCGGATGTAGAGAGGCCGCCGCCGCCGCTGCTGCTGCTGCTGCTGCTGCTGCTGGTGGTTTGGACATCTTTTGCGATTGCGCCGGGCGCTTTGTCCGGGTGGTGCTTTAGCAGGGCTTTATGGTAGGCTGCTTTGAGCTGTTGTTTGGAGAGTGCCGTTGGCGTCTCTGTGAAGGGGAGGTTGAGGACTTCGTAGTGGTCTTGGGTGAGGGGGTGGTTGGATCTGGTCATGGTGGGTTGGGTATTGCGGTGCGGCAGATGTAGATGGGTTATTTTTTGCGCGGATTGGTAGGAGGGTTGGCTTCTTCGCCAAGGATAAGTCAATTTAGTATATATTTATTGTTCCATTCAGTCTGTTTTGTATCTTGGGAGATGAAGGCTCTGGTGGGCTCTGGGTTGGGTGCTTGAGATGCGGCGGTTGGAGTTCGGAGATTGAAAGACTTTCTCGTCGGCTCCGCACTGCCGCCACTTCTTGTGCGCTTCCGGAGTGATGCCGACTCGGCGTGACAACCACGATACCTTGTGCTACGTGATTGCAATGTCGGACAGATTCTTTTGTTATATTGACATCGATGGTAACTAAGAAAGCGGATGCCTTGTGGATCGAGCGATCAATAGTACCTAATTAGCCGGTTCAACTACTAGGGGTGATATATATACCGCAGCATGTTCGCTAATGAGGTACTACGGCAATGATCACAAGGTATCTTCTGATTCTTCAATGGATGGTTTATTGATCTAATCTTCTAGATATTTCCACCCCTGTATGGTTTATTGCCCCGCGGCAGGACATGCCTGTCTAAGACGCATGCTATGGTCGTCGAACATCGATCGAGAACATGTCGGATATCAAAATGTGAACAAGAGAAAACAATGCTCCGCAGCTAAAACCCTGAAACAAACCGAACCCAGAATATTCACAAAGACCTGGAGAGTATTTACTCTGAGGTCTTGAAGACATAGCGGTCCTCAGTCTTGAAGGGGACACCAAGTTCAAGGAGCTTGACGAAGACATTGGAGAAGTCCTTGAAGAAGAGGTCGCTGTCCTTAGCATAAAGCTCGACGTACTTGCGGAACGCCTTGTCCTTGGTCAGGGCAAGATCAGCGGGCATCATCATCAGGGTACCAGTGGTCTTGTCAGTGAACTGCTTGGGGCCGTTCCACTTGCGCTGCTGCCACTTCTCTTCAACCAACAGACGGAAGAACTCGTTGGTGAAGACGGTAGGGCTGAAGTCCCAGGGACCGTCGAAGCCAGAGCGGTCAGTGTGGGCGCGACCAAGGGAGTGAGCTCCAACCAGAGCAACGATCTCCTGGTCGTTGAATCCCATGCGGTAGAAGATGTCACGGATGTGCGACTGCTCCTTGGTGGCGTCGGGGAGACGTCCATCAGGGGTGCAAGCAGCAACGTCCTTGTCCTGACGGCCAGGTCTCCAGGGGATGGCAGGGCCACCAAGCTCCTGGATGGCACAGGCACCAGCCAGGGTCCAGAGGTCGGAGTAGGTGATCCAGGGGAACTGGGCCTTGATGGGCTCCAAGAAGTCTCTGGCGTGCTTGAGACCAGCGTTGGCGCCGTGGTCGGACTCGGGGGCAAATCTCATGGTGGCACCGTTGCTTCCACCAGTGCCAGTCTCCTTGTCGTAGGTACCGCTTGCGTGCCATGCGAGGCGGACAAGAACCTATTCAACAACAAGGGTCAGCTTCCCACGTACTCAATGGCTCAAGCTTATCAGACGGTGACTGTCACTTACGGGTCCATAGCTGCCATCGTCATAGTCGGTCTCGTTGGCGAGACGCTGAGCAACGGCATCGTACACCTTCTGGTAGTCCTCCTTGGTGGGGACAAACTCCTTGGAGCTGACGGAGGCATCACCACCCTTCAGGTAGAAGTAGGCGCCAACACCACCAGCAGCGGCAATACCAGCCCAGAGGAGGCTGTTGGAGGACTTGGCCTCGCCAGCCTCAGAGGCATAGCCGCGGCGAGAGGCAGCACGGAAGCCCTGAGAAGGGAGGGCAAAGCGAGCACTGCGAGCAGCAGGTCTGAAGGAAGAGGTAGCGGGGGTCGAGCGAAGGAAGGCCCGAGAAGCCGTTCTAGCAGCCAATGCCATTGTGAAAGAATGTAAAGGGAAGGAGACGAATGCTCAGGGGTGAATTGGATGTACACGGAGGATGGATGAAGAAACCCAGGGACAGATGGATTACCTCGGGTGTAAGACGGGAGAGAAGAGGAAGGACAGAATAATAAGGTAGGAGGGAGGAGAAGGGGAGAGGGAAAGAAAGACAGAAGAGGAGACGAAGACAGGGATACTAATAGGCTGCGAATGTTCTCCTCAGCACTTCCAGCGACTTCCTCCACAACGACTTAGTATTATGCCGAGTCCGTTGTCCAGGCACGGCGCACCAATGGCAACACGCAGATTGACGAGCTCTGGGCCGAATCTTTTGAGTCAGCAAGTCACTCTCCGCATTTCAGGCGCCGTGAATCTCTTTAGTCCGCGGGCAACTGCCAGTTGGTTGTGAGTGAGGAGACCAGAATTGGGTGACCCGATCTCCGGCAATTGGACCTGTCCGTGGCAAGATGGCCCTTTTCCCGACCCTTGGCTCCAATCTCAGTCTACGAGTCTTTGATTCCTACAGAGTGCCACACAGCATTGATTGACTGAGCCATTGTTTGGTCGATTGACGGTGATTTGCGTGTTGAGTTGAGAGTTGAGAGGTCCAAGTTCACAGCTCTCAGGAGGGGCAAGCAGCCCATCTCCATGCAACGATCATAGCCGATGCGACTAGTCTATCGCTCGTTTCTGGGTCCGCGGGTGGGACCGTTGCCATATTATTAACAGGAACATTCTCTTTGGCAGAGACTCGCTGGTCTCACCTGCTTCTTTGCTCTCTGAGCCGCGGTAAATTCCGGACCACCCACTGCCTTCTCCCTTCAACTGGTTCCTATTACTAAACTTTTATCCGTCCAGAATCTTCCCATTACTCAGCTCTGGAGTCTGGCTCTCACGATAACTGCTATCAGCCCTTCAGAACCATTCTAGAAGTCTGCTGAACAGAGCTCTCTTACAAACACCGCTTCTGATAAACAACTCGGCCTTGATGCTTAATCATTATCAGTTGCTATGGTAGCTTGGCCTCCAATGTAGTCGGAGTGTCGGACACGTTGGCGACCGCAACAAACAGCATGCTCGGTCATCAACCATAGCTTCAGCTCCTCTTTTGATTGATCTCAGAGCTGCTGCAGCGATCATCTCCAGACAGATGGGACGAGGGGCGACCAGATGCAAGGGGCGTTAACTGGCTCGTACTTCCAGAGGGCGCAAAGCACCCGTTTCAGTAGCACCGGAACATGTCCACTCCTTCATCGGAATGCTTTCCGTACAAACGAAGAAACACCCATTCCGGTCTCCCAGATCTACGTACCGCACACCACATATGCACAGCTACAAATAAAAAAAAGGTAGAGATAAAACTCAGGATGTCCGTCGTAAAAATAGTCCTGCCGTCCGATAAAAGCGAACACCAGGGTGGAGTAGACGCAGCTCTGCTAAAAACTGTTTGGTTTTGATCTTCCACTGAACGAACTTGAAAAAAAAGTATGCCTCTTCGCCATTGAAAAGGCTAGAAGCGCACTGCGTGGTTTTCGTTGTGCTACGAGAAAAGAAAAAGCGAGACAAAAAAAAAAAAAAAGGGAGAAAACAGTAAACAGCTGAATGATGCTGCAAACATTCTGCAGTCGATCTCCTACAGTAAATGTAGACGCTTCAAGCCAAAGACATGGGAAGGAATCGTTCATAATATTCCAAAACCCCTATGGCTGAGGGTTGAAGGCAGGTTGAGTGACTGTAAAGGAAGGGGGAAACGGTGGGCGAGAGAAAATTGGGATGAAAATTGGTCTTTTCGCTTAAGCTTTCGGTCATGTGATATAAACGCTAGCCTAAGCGAGTATGGTTGTTCCTATTGCTCGATAGGGATACAGCTATCTACATACTGGCTGGCAGGCTGTCTGGCACTTTCATTGACTCTTCAGCATTGAAGATCTGTTGCTACATATATGGCTCCAGCATGCTATTTTACATTACTGGACTGGTTGGAGTGACTGAGTGCGTGCCATCAATGCCTGGTGCTATACCTATCGCCGATATACTAAGTATGGCCTGGTTTATTGTGCCAAGTCGTTGCGAGCCTCAGGCGAGAGGAAATATATGTCTATGCGACTGACATGTCATTAGAAATGTCAAAAGACTTTGTTCCTTCGAAATATCATTATCACCCGACTTAGATACATATCATTAACAGCAATGCTCAGTACAACTGAGACCTCACTGCTTCCTAGATCTGGTCGCATCGATGGCCAATCCGATGAGCTGGCTAATAGGTCCACCACGTCTCTTTCTTCTCCTCCGTTCTTGTTTTCCGGAGTTGTACGACATCATCTCAGGTCTCTGTTGAGACTCGAGCTCAGGACCTCCCTGAGCCGGTGCCTCGCAGGCCTCATACTCTGTCGTGCGTTGACGGACTTCTAGAGTCATCCCAACTCCCAGACAGATCCCAACAATCACGATCTCCTCCAGAACAGCCATGACCAGGAAGACAGTGACGTTTCCGGTCAACATGCTGAACGTGGGGTTGTGCGTGAATACCGACAACAGGGAGTATATGAGGCGCACGAGAAGCAACGGAACTGAGATTCCGACTGCCAAAACCAAGCGATGTTCGCCATCCTCAATGCTTCCATACTTGCTTCCGACGACGAGTAGCAGGGCACAGAGACAGGCCCATGCGATGACGTATAGAACGTCGCCAACTTTGGCTTCTGTACTGTTCGTGATTCCCTGAAGGCTCGAGCTGTTGCTTGCACCAACAATACAAAGAACCATGCCCGCCAGTGTGAGGAGACCGACTAATCTGAAGAAGGCTGGAAGGAGGCCGCGTCCGCTTTTTCGTTGAATGGAATCGTTACTGGAGTACGAGGGACTGATTAGTTTCTTGACGACTTAGAGCAGATCAGAATGACACGTACACTCGGGACAAGAGACCGATGCACGTGGAAATCAGAGGGGCAAGTCCGATGGAAGTGCAAACTCCCCATGCGATATAAAGGTCGATGGTCTCAGGGTGGGCTATCGTGGCCAGGTAGCAGCACGAACCAACAATGCGGGCCAAGGAGAAGATTATCAAGAGAACCCAGCCAGCGTTTCTCTGGAAGCCGTGGCGGAAGCCCATGTACAACGAGATGAATAGGGACGGGAAGTATACGATCAATTCCAGAATGGAGAGACCATGTCGGTAGTTGACGGCCATGATTGCGATAGAGAGACGAACAACGAGTCAGTGTCTCTTATGAGCTAGAAGAGAAGAAGTGTTGACTTCAGAACAATCTGCTTCATTGGAAGGTCGATAGAGGAGAGGCAAGTTATATAACAATTTCAGGCAACCGTTATTCCCCCTGTTGAAGACTGCTATAATCCTAGCAAGATCACACATTTTCTTCACGGTACCAATACCTGCACCCACAAGGCTGTGCTTCTCTGGAATGTACCTCAAACAAGCGTCTATCGGGAGCTTGAGGCTATGCTTAGCCATATCGTTCTGCCCAACCAAAGGCCATAATGAAGGCCGGATGGAGCAAACTTGATGGATATTTCAACGAAGATATCGTGGACGGATATCAGGCCCAATCAGAATACGGTATTGCTCGCCCTGCTTCCCAAATGCGGCTAGACCAACCCCACCGGACTGGGGCTTCGCTGGAACTCGTGGCGTTTGGTGATTCCTCAATACGAACTTCATCTATCTTGCTCCCCGAAGTTCAGTCTGGAAAGGACCTACATGTTGGGGCCGCACTATGTCAACCTTGCTATACCCTTCTATTACGCTATTTAGGCATCGCGTGTGATACGACCACATCCCAGTCTACATGCGGCTCCTCACTCGTGATGGGCAAACCAAGCGGAGGGTGTGGTACGTGTCGTGCGAGGAGAGTCAAAGTAAGTAGTATGACCTTGTCTATGATCCACCATCCTATCATCGTATCGAAGACACCGGCGCCTTCCACCCATTCCATCTGGTCTGATCACTGCTCTTAGTGCGATGAAGCTAGACCAGTCTGCGGTCGTTGTAGAAAAGCAAGGCGGACTTGTTCCGGCTATCGAGACCCGCACTCGGTATGGTTTAGAGACGAGAGCGATGCAGTAGCCCGAAGAGTCAAGAGATCTGCCACTTTAGACACAAAATCGTCCTCCACAGAGCCTTCGGTTCTGACGCTAGCAAGACGAAACACCTCCCAGAAAGTATATCCTGGACACTACCCTCTGCGGTTCCCCCTAGCGATAGTTAACTTTGCGTTGGATCATACCTTCCAAGCCACATGCTTTTTCCTGAACACGTACACGTGGTTCAATGCGTCTAACACGGTGGAAACCTCATTCAAACATGGTGCCGGTTCTGCTGAGTCCCTTGGCCAGAAAGCTATGATGGCTAGCATTGCATCCGTGGGCTTAGCGAATCTTGCTAGTATGCAGAGGTCCTCGTCAATGCGGTTGTCGGCTCGGCGCGAGTATACTAAGGCTCTTCAGCTGACAAACTCAGCTTTATGCGATCCGAAACTGGCTACAGCAGATACCACGCTAACCGCGATCGTTTGCTTATCATTATTCGAGGTGAGTTTGACTTTGACGATTGACAGAGCATATGGCTGACTGGTTTATTTAGATTATTGCTTGCCAGAGAAATGAGAGCCTTCAATCCTGGATCGAACACTCACAGGGGGTGGCAACTGTCCTTGAACTTCGCGGCAGAGATCAGCTTCGGCGCGAAGGCGGGTTCTGGATGTTCCAAGCCCTCCGAAATGAGGTGGTGGGTGTTATCCAAGTCTCTTATATAGAATCTGGCTAATGACCCCTTCAGCTCCTTGGTTGCCTACAAAAGAAGACGAGACTCCCTTCTGTCCTGATCGATATGCCTGATCAAGTAGCTACCGACCTGACGTCGTATCCTCTCCCAACTGACGGAGATCGACTAGTTAAGGTCATGGCTAAGTTCGCCGGGCTTCAGGCTGATGTCAGAGAAGGAATTCTTTCGGACAGCAGTGAGATAGTAGAGATTGCCATGGCCATAGACTTGGAGCTAGAACGGTTTGCTGGTAATGTTTCAGCCAGTTTCACTTACAAGGTCGTGACACGGCCGGGCAGTGTGTCATCCTGCGAGTACGAAAAGGACAATTTCTGCCATTACCGAGGGACCTATCATATCTATCAATCCGTCTGGTCCTGCAATATTTGGAACAACTACCGCTACATCCGAATCCTCGTTAACAACATGATCCTGACCCATCTGCAATCGATGGCATTGGGTGGCCATCAAGTGCTAGACTATGGCCTCTTCAAGGCCCATTGTATTCGGATTCGTGATTTGATGAGGCAGCTAGCCACGGACATCTGCTGCTCTATTCCTTTCAAGTTCGGAGTTGCTGGCAATGAAAGCAAGAATGTCTTTGATTCTCCGCATACCTATGCGGGCACAGGGTTCACTTTGCTTCTGCCGCTGACCATGGCCGCACTTGTTGGCGGAGCTTCAAGCCCGATGCATAACTGGGCTATGAGATGCTTCCACGTGATTGGCCGGGAGATGGGCATTGGCACCGCTTTGACCATCGTCACAGTGTTAGGGGAAGAACAGGGTGGGCTACATTGGATAGATGCGATGGAGTCTGGCGACACCGTTTGGCCACGGGCCTCGTTACAGTGAACATCCTCAAGATGCCTCCGTCGGCGTGGGGGATGGGTGTCTGTGTGATTGACGCAAACGTTTAGTATATCTACGGATAGACGAAACTGGCTGGATGTATATAGAAAACAAACTCTACTGTGTAATGATGCACCGTGAAATAATGCCGATGGCTGGGATATCCACACAACAGTGCTGCCTGAGGCCTCAACAAGTGCATCGGGCCAATAAGTCACGTGCCGCACTATGACATTGACCCATATAAAAATCCTTTCGATCCGCGCACTTTCTTTCTTCTCCTCACACTTTTCATACCTCACGAACGCATAATCAACCTCCAATTCCTTCTTAATTGACCATAGGATGGCAGGTCATATTGGCGTACTAGAGTAACCCTTTACCCCGGGCATAATTGGCTCCCCTACGGCGCTGAGTTCCTTCCCGGAGCTCGTCTGTGCAATGGTGGTCGGAGTCACCTGCTGCTCAAACATTCCCTATCGACAAAATCCAATTAGGTATGGAGTGTGATATGATCGTAAGAACATACGTAGAACAGAACCAGATGCATGCACCGAGCGAGTGCAGGGATCAGCGATGGACACTGCAACAACAGTTGCCTTGCTGTTCAGTTCGCATTAGTATCCGCCTCTTCAGGGTCCTTTTTGGCTGCTTCGGGCTGTGGGATTTCATGACGCGTCCCGGGATCCATGCAGAAAGTCCAGTACTACTGTGGAATCACTGGATTGGGGCATTGAATGGGCTTCCATAACGTTATTCGAAGGCAAGAGGGGGGGGAGGGGGGTGTGTCTCATTGGCGTGACTGCTGCCAAATCATCATGAATAGACTTTCCACACCAGGAACAGGACTGGTGTTAACAATCCTGGCTGGTTGGGGTCGAAAGTTCCAAGCGTTGCTTTGCAGCCATTGGGGGCTGCTGCTGCTGCCCCTGATGCCACCCGGACGCTTGATTTTCTCCTATCCTTCATGTATTGCTTGCTCTGAAATTAAGACTTCTGGGCATCTGCGCCATCACTCCGATAAAATATTCCCTCGTAGATATTGATCTACTATTTTTTATCTAGTTATTCCCAACAGCAGACAACGTGGGCCGAATTGGGCCGGCAAACGGACAACTATTAATATCGTGGGACTTTAACTGAATCAATCCATCGTCGCTGCTCTTCTGCTCCCCACCTCTACTCTCTCCGCCGACTCCTCTCTCTCTCTCTCTCTCTCTCTCTCTCTCACACTCTCCTCATTTCATCCCTGGCCAGCTCCTTTAACTTGTTTCCCTACCCAATTCCCCCTCCTCCTCGTCGAATACTTTTGCTGTGCATCCCCCGACGCTTTTCCTGGTGTAAATATGCTTTGCCTCTCAGCTTGAAGGTTTTCCCGAATCCCCCGTTCCGGAAGCTCGGCTCGTGCTGTTGCTTCGCTGGAGACTTTTTCCCCAACTCGCCTCCTCGCGACCCCCCCCTACATCTCACTCCTTCTTCCCCCCTCTCCTTGTCTTGGGGTTTGTGAGACTGAAATTCCACCCCTGTCGTCGCGCAAGATACCCCGCCATTCTGTTAGAGTCTTGCGATCATGGTGGCCGGAATTAGCAAACGGCAGCAGTTCCGCAATGAGCGGGCGCTGCAGGACCTCATTCGGTCGGTCCCTGGAAATGACCGCTGTGCTGATTGTCAGGCCTTGAATCCAGGTGAGTTGCGTCGCCGTATGTCTTAATTTATGTGCAGATTGCTAATGGACTGTTTTCTTTGGTACAGGATGGGCTAGTTGGAACGTACGTCTCTCGTCAACCCGATTCATACATACATGCAATGCAGTGCACTTTTTTCGTTTTGTGAGGAAGGACAGTATATACTGATCGGAATACATGAATAGATTGGAATCTTTATCTGCATGCGATGTGCGTCTTTGCATCGCAAGCTGGGCACACATATCTCCAAGGTCAAATCCTTGAGCATGGATACATGGACGGACGATCAGGTCGATGTGAGTTGTTATTGTGATTCCGGGATACATTTCGCAGCCAGAGAATGAAGTCGCTAACCGGTGAAATTGTCTAGAATATGAAATCGCACGGAAACAACATCATGAACAAGATCTACAACCCTAAGAACGTCAAGCCACCTGTTCCGACCGACGTGGACGAGTCCGACGCATGCATGGAACGCTTCATTCGCCAGAAATACCAGCACCGCTCCCTCGACGAGGTGAAACAAAAGCCTCCCAGTCGTCATGATTCGGACTACGATAGACCCCGCGCAGAGGACCGGTCTCCGGAAGGCTCTCCTCCTCCCCTCCCTCCCAAGCCTGCTAGGCCCTTTGGCTTTGGTCTTCGGTCCGCCTCATCTGCGACCAACCTCAACCGGATGTCCAACAGAGGTTCGGCAATCTCACCACAGTCGGATAGCTTCGGTGCGTCGGGAATATCAGTGAGGAAAGGCTCGGGAGATGCGTCGTTTGATGCGAAGCTGGCCACCCTACGGGATATGGGCTTCGCAAACGAGCGCCGCAACGCGATCGCCCTCCGCGAGCTGGACGGCAATCTAGACAAGACGATCGAGACGTTGGTGAGGCTGGGAGAAGGCAATGGATCTATCTCGCTTGCCAAGTCTCCGGCTGCGCAACCTACTCCTGATGCTGGCAAATCTTCCAATCCATTCGATCAACTGGATGCCAGGCCCGCTACTCGCCAAGCAAGTGGGAGCTACAACCCGTTCGATGCACCTGTGCAGTCTCAGCCGCAGGCCCAGCAGCCCCCTGTGCAATCGCTGGAGCAGTCTTTCCAGAACCTGCAGGTCGCGCAGCCCTTGTTTCCGCACTCCACCGGTGGCTATCCAATGCGGCAGGTCTCGCTCCCTCAGCCTCTCTACCAGCAGACGGCGACGCCCCCGGTTCCCACGAACTTTGCCCAGAACCCATATGTCTCTTCTCCGCAGCCACTAGACGGTGGCAGCAATCCTTTCTTTCAGACCGGAGCTCAGCCGCAGGCCAGCATGACCCCTCCCGCGTCCAATCTCGCCCAGACAAACCCCTTCTTCAGCCAAGTTGCACCGCAGCCGACCGGGATGCAGCAACCACCTCAGAGCCAGGCTGCATCCAATTCCCCATTCGGCCCCCTTCGACACGCAAACACCATGCCTGTCATGCCCTCCACATCGCCTTTCGGCCAGCCTTCTCCCTTCCAATCGCAACTTCAGTCCCAGCCTCAGTCTCAGCCTCAACCCCAGGCGCAACCACAACCGCAACCCCAATACCAAATGCAGCAGCATCTGCAACAACCGCAAGGGTCTCTGAACCCCTATCAAACCATGACCGCGCCAGCTACCCCCCAGAACGCAGGATACCTGGCGCAACCGCAATACGGATATCAAGCATCCGCACAGCATCTAGCGCCGCAGCCCACCGGCCGCGTCGACAAGAACAGCATCCTCTCCCTCTATCAATTCTCCCCGCAACCTTCTGCCACCCCAGAGCAACCTCAATACCGACCTTCCACGGCCGTGAACCCTCCCACTCAGACCGGCCAGCCCTCACCCTTCAATACCATGCCGCAACAACAACAATCACAACCTTTCAACACCATGTCCCAACAACAGCAGCAGCAGCAGCAGCAGCAGCAGCAGCAACAAAGCAACCCCCTCACAGACCCCCTATCAGCAAGCGGCACCCGCAACCCCTTCTTCACCACAGCCCCCCAACCAGGAGCTCCCTCCTCGGTCCCAACTACCACCGCACAAGTAACAACAACACCCTACCTCACCACCACCGCCCCACCCCAACAGCAGCAACAGCAGCAGCAACAAACACTCAATGTCTACGGAGGAATGCCCAACAAGCCCACCGGCTTCCCACGAGGCCACTTGAGCCAGCAAAGCGTCGATATCAACGGCTTCCAAAGCGGACGACACAGTCCCGATGCGTTTGCCAGCTTGAGTGCACGATATGGATAGTGTTCATCCCTTATCTTTCACTTTTGGAACAAATCTACACATCTTCTATCTATTGCACATTCTTCCTTTGATTATATATATAACCCTTGTGCCTTTACTTGTGAACTCGTCGACTCGGGACTTCCACTATTTTTATATGGTCTGGAAGGGAATCTGGACTTGGTGAGGCGAGTGTAAAGTAGATTAGTTTAGCTGATTGCATTTTTGGCGTTGTGTTTGTTTTTTGTTTCTATGTTTTGAGGGTTTACGCGGTATATATCTATATCCCTATATTTGCTTTGTAGTTGGTCTGGTGGTGCGATCATTGAGTATCAACTACTTATATCTTTCTTCAATTTCTATTTTTGTTTTCAGCCGGCTTTTTCTGTGGTGGAAAAGTATATAGTGGTTCCTTCTTGCTCTGTTCACTTCATCGGGGAAATTGTTGCATAGAGATAAAACGTTTCTAGTAGTTGGTGGATATATATTTGGATGATAGTAGGGCAAAATTCAATTATATAGCGACTTGGGTATATGGTATATGATACATGGTATTTTGAATAGGATACAACGTGGCAAAATCTTCCGTATCAAACTATGTAAAGGTATCCGAGGTATTATTCCAAAATGTTCACAGATGAATATACAGCTTAGTATAGTAACACAGATCATATCTTCCCGACTATATGTGCACGCATCAAAGCTACTAAGCCCAGTTTGCCCGATCGTTCATCCGCCGGTTTAGCTCTTCCCAGGCGGGGAATGACCAAGATGATGACTTTCTTGACGACTTTGAGAACGGCCAGGCCGGCAACTCAAACCCGAAAAGGGTTGTGCGTTTGCGGCGCTGCCAGGGCCATGACCACGACCAGGACGATTGGGACTGGCTTGAGAATATGGATTTCCAGAACTGCGCTAGACGTTGCTTGTGCGTGGGCTTGGTGAAAGCTTGCACGATGCGATCGAAGTGAAGATCCCGGCTCTCGCGCTGGCGTTGTATGTACACACTGTCCCGGGCGGCTTGTTCGGACGGGTCAACGCACCAAACGACTATGTCGCCCCGACGGCGCCAGTCGTCATGCCAGGCGGTGTTCCAGGTGCGGTGGCATTCCTTGTATGCAGAGAAGCGGAGGAGACTCTGTAGGGTGGGTTCTAGTTGGGCGAAGAATATGAGGTAATCGGGCCATTCGTGAGGGGTTTTAGACTGGTACTGTGTGGGCAACTGCGAAGATTTCCAATTATACTTGTCATAGGATGGCCTTCGAGGGAATCGGCGCAGACCGCCAACCATGTTCGTGCGCAGAAACTGCTCAGGATCGGCGTAGAACTGGTCCGCCTCGTCCAAGTACGTAGCTTTCTCGGACGCGTCGAGGCCGACAGGAGGCTCGCAGGATAGTGCCCAGGCGCTGATGGTGGGGTAGACCATATGTGAGCGCCAAGGAGTGCTATGGCAAGGCATGAGGAACCCGGCTGTGATCCCGGGCTGAGAAGTATCGGTCATATCGGTGGAGCCATGAATTTGTCGCTGGTCCCGAAGGTAGGACAACACGGCTGCTGGGCCGGATGCATGGATGACCGTCGTATAGAGCGCAATGACGGCGTTCGCCAGTAGCAAGAAAACAAAGGTTAGCCGTCTGGGGGTGTGTCTCTGACTTCCCGCGGTGACCGCGGGACGGAAGAATTTCACCAGAGCAGGTGCAGTGAGGACATGCAGCGAGGGCAGCAATGGATAGATGAATCGCACCTCCTTGTGCGATATCTGCGACAACCCAATGATCATGATGAGGCACACCGAAGCAAGCTGAACCTGCATCGAAGCCTGCAACTCGCTAAGTTCACCCGATCGCGGTCGGGTTACTGAATGGTATAAGCCCACAACGGCGAAGGGCAAGGCTGTAGTCAAGAGGAGGGGAAGCCCCTGAGACAAATAGTAGTGCCAATCATTCTTTCCATAGAAGACCGCCAGCGATTGGGCAAGGTTGAAGTACAGGAACCGTAGGGGTGGGAAAGTCCAGAATCCGTAGAAGAACCGATCTGCTGTAGTTGACACCGCCAAAACAGCTGAGCTGTAAGAGTGTTAGAAGTAGTTGCGTACTTGAAACAAATGGAGGGAACCGTTAAGCTCACCCGCAAAGTAGAGCTTCGCGGACAAGCGTCGCCCGTCGAAGGGGAGTGCTCCGGTACAACAACAGGCTAGCAAGTACTATCCAGATCAGAACGTTAGTGGGTCGCAGTATACATGCCACAGCCGCCAGCACAAGGCATCGTCGAAGCCTGTCCCCAGAGATAGAGTTAGTTTATTTTCACAAAGCTGGGTGAAAATATAAGGTCGTACCTGCTCAGGACAGCCGTGTCAGACTGGTCCTCGTCCGGCTGGGGCTTGAGGCTACGTGAGGGCGACCCTTTTGGTTGGGTGGTGGTTGAGGGATCCAACGACCATACCCATGGCCACAGATAAAGAGCAGCAATGGTAAGGGAGGTCTCCAGGCAATTCGACAAGGTCCTTGTGGAGCAGAACCATTGCCAAGGACTCACGATGGTCAATGCCAGCTATATTCTGTGATTAGTCCTGATGAGACGCATGCTGGCTGGAGATCTGAGACATACTGCAGCCCAGGCCTCGTGAGACATAGGATCATACACGCGACAAGCCAATCGCCAGGTATATAGGTCACCAACGGCAGCGATAACGGCTTGGGCAACCTTGGGGGCGACAACTAGGCATTCCGCTTGCCATGCAGGGGAAATGTGGAGTAGGCGAGCGAGCAGATCGGTGGTGGCATAAACAGCGGTAAAGAGAAGAGGGTGTAGGGAAGATCTCAGCTGGTGGCGCCATTCCTGCACAAGGACGTCGTCATTGATTATTAGTCTTGCAGAGCCCCAGCAGATTGGCTGAAGAGTTGTGATGATGACACCGGGTTTCTTGGAAGATGCAGGGAGGTACAGAGCGGAATGCTCCAATGGAAAGGGAGAACTCACCCAAGTGATCCAAGGCGCATGGTCGTCTCCGAATGCGGCCCGCCAAGCGGGCTCGAGAGATTGGAAGAACTCATCGGGTTGGAAAAAGGTCCGGACGGTCCAAGCATTGACCAGACGGAAGGCGATGAGGAAGAGGAAGATGCGAAGCGAGGATGGCGGGGTGGAGAGGAGGAAGGCGGAGGAGGAAGATAAGGAGGATAAGGAGGGGAAGAAGGAGGAAGACAAAGAGGATGGCCTCAGGTGACCAGAGCGGGAGGAGGAATCATACAGAAGAGAGGCATCGGGATCGGAGACATCAGCGTCGGCGATGTAGTCGCTGTCCGATAAGGATGAGGGGGAGGAAAAGGAGGAGGCTGTTGAAGAAGAGGCTCTCCGCCGACGACGAATCCCAGACATGATGGATGATCGGGGGAATTATTTACTAGTCAGGCACACACACACACACACACACCCCAGATTTTCTGGGATGATTAAGTTATGGATCCAGGGATGAAAAATGACAATTGTGATGGAAGTGGTTGGGTGGATTGGGAAGGTACCACGGCGTGCAGCACTAGTTCAGTGCAGCCGCTAGTCACTAGTCACTATGTAGAATAGTCACTAGTAGTAGTAATAGTCACAGTGAACTGCCAAGTTTTACAGGTCACGATAAAACTGCCATCTTTTGTTGGTTTAGTTTTGTTTACAGGGGGAAAGCGGAAAAGGGAAAGCAGAAGATACCACTTGGTTCCTTTCTCAGACAGCCAACCAACCAATCAATTTCGCGTTCTCAGTCTGGACTGGGTCGGACCGATAACAAGCGTCGAGATCCGCTCCGTGGGTCTTGAGAGTTGAGTGGGAGGAGAAGAAAAGAGTAATTGTCGGGATGATGAGTGGCTGCCCAGAACCTCCAAGGAAGGCGGCCAGAAAACCCAGGCCACCAGGAAGTGGAGCGGAGCCGCCCGCCTTAGTCAGAAAGACATCATGATCGCTTCCACCTGCACTTAGGAGTCTTCTCCGCGTCCACCTGCGCTTAACGGTGTAGCTTCGGCCTCGCAAATTTCCTGTCTACCACAATTCGTCTGTTTGCCAGCCAAATTGGTAAAAGCCTTCCTGTCACTGCTGCACTCCTCTCCTCCCCTGCCTCAACCCTTCTTATACCGTGTCCCCCCTTCTCTCTACTTCGTCTGTTCTTTCTTTCTTATCTTATACTTCCCAGATACCCCCTCAGTCCTTCCTCTTCCTCTTATACTGCTCTCACATCTTTCTTCCTCTGCCCACATACCAGCCTCTCATAGCCTCTCATCCTCTGACCACTGCTTCCTTAAATTGTCCCTGATTCTTCTCTCACACCATGGCGTCCAACGGTACCAATGGAACTAACGGCCACAATGGCATCAGTTCCTACCATGCCTCCACTACTCAAGAGGCCATCCAGGCTGAGAAAGACTTCGCTGCCCACAACTACCACCCACTCCCCATCGTCTTCGCTCGTGCCCAGGGCACCACAGTCTGGGACCCCGAGGGTCGTCAATACCTCGATTTCCTGTCTGCGTACTCCGCTGTCAACCAGGGTCACTGCCACCCCAAGCTGGTGGCGGCTCTCGTTGATCAGGCCTCCCGTTTGACTCTCAGTTCCCGTGCCTTTTACAACGATGTCTTCCCCCGGTTTGCCGAGTTCGTGACCAAGTACTTTGGCTTCGACATGGTCCTGCCCATGAACACCGGTGCGGAGGCGGTCGAGACTGGTATCAAGATCGCCCGCAAGTGGGGTTATAAGGTGAAGGGAATTCCCGAGAACCAGGCGGTGGTCCTGAGTGCGGAGAACAACTTCCACGGACGCACAGTAAGTACCGGAATATCGCCCTGTGTAATTGAAATTTGATCCAGACTGACCGGTGTTCCCTGGTTTAGTTCGCTGCTATCTCCTTATCTTCTGACCCCGAGTCGCGCGAGAACTATGGCCCTTACCTGCCCGGTATCGGCTGCACCATTCCCGGAACGGACAAGCCTATCGCCTACAACGATAAGGCCGCCTTACGGGAGGCCTTCGAGAAGGCGGGTCCCAACCTCGCCGCCTTCTTGGTGGAGCCCATTCAGGGCGAGGCTGGAATTGTTGTCCCCGACGAGGATTACCTGCAGGAGGCCAGAGCCCTGTGCGACAAGCACAACGTTCTGTTGATCTGCGATGAGATTCAGACTGGTATTGCCCGTACTGGTAAGCTGCTCTGCCACGAGTGGAGCGGCATCAAGCCTGACATGGTGCTGCTGGGCAAGGCCATCTCCGGTGGCATGTACCCCGTGTCCTGCGTGCTGGGCCGCAAGGATGTCATGCTCACTATCGAGCCGGGCACCCACGGTTCGACCTATGGAGGTAACCCGCTGGCCTGTGCGGTCGCTATCAGAGCCCTGGAGGTCGTCCAGGAGGAGAACATGGTCGAGCGCGCCGAGAAGCTCGGTCACGTCTTCCGCGACGGTCTGCAGGCCATTAAGAGCCCCATCATCCAGACGGTGCGCGGCAAGGGTCTGCTCAATGCTATTGTCATTGATGAGTCCAAGACCAACGGCCACTCTGCGTGGGACCTCTGCATGCTGCTCAAAACGAAGGGGTTGCTGGTAAGTTAATGCTGTCGCCTTTAATTTTAGGTCAAATACTAACCTCCCCTCCAGGCTAAGCCGACTCACGAAAACATCATCCGTCTGGCACCACCCTTGGTGATCACCGATGAGGAGGTCCAGAAGGCCTTGGACATCATCAAGGAAGCCGTCAACGAGCTCCCCACGCTCACCGGCGCGGCTGAGGAGGAGGTCATTCCCCCTCCGGAGAAGAAGGTCAAGGTCAGCCTCGAGAACTAGAGGCCAGACACAACGGAGGTGACGGATGGGATCCTAGTGGCAAATGCACTGGGATGAACTTGGTACATCGACGCAACCGCGACAGCGCCTGAAAATCGTCAGCACCTGAGTACGGTTTATTCCGACCAGGGACGATGCCTTGTCGTGTCGACCAGAGGACTCGTACGGGCGCGGGAGATTTGACTCTTGTCGAAAAAGCCCAAGCATGAGTGATGCGGTTGCACACCGTCTCTGCCACCTCGTGTGAGATGCCCTGAATTCGTAGCGCCGGTTGGATATCGGTCTTTAGACGGATGAAAGTTGATGATAACGCTTGATGACCATTAGAATCAAAATTCTAGCCTAGAATGAATTCAAAGCGAGTGTTTTCCCTCATATTATTTGGGATTTTTGACATGGTTGTAGTTGAAAAGAAAAGAGCACACGATGTTCGATGATGCCGCATATGTGGCCGCCCCCGCGCTTTCTTTCCCCTCTTTCTCTTCTTCCCCTTTTCCCTCTCCCGTTCCTGTCCTTCCGATTGCTCCCCATTAATTCCCTCCAGTCCCTGTCGCCATAATATATCCCGCATCAAAATACTCGTAATAGATCCCTCCATAGAAATTTCATCCTGTCCCAATAATAAAGCCGTGTTTGACACTCGACCTCTCCTCTCCTAAACCGCACCCCCTCACTTCTTCTATCCCATAATAACTGAAATGAATAAATTCTGAGTTTCACAGAGAAATGGATGGGTGTTGAGAATTATTATATAGTATCTACTACATTAATCTTCTAATTTAATTCTTATCCCTTATATGATACTCATCGTCACAAAATTCAATTTTCAATTTTCTTTATCCACGATGCCAATATGTATCTTGGTTCAGTCTTGCTGGTGGGTGGTCATTGTCCGAAGAAATTGATGTCAGCCTAGCTAGCAAGGGGGTTAGGAGTACTTAGACAGGGGAGGAAAGTAACTAACTGCAAATGCCAGTCGGAGGAAATTGTACTAACTATCTCGGAGGATTTTTTACCTTATGGTCTACTACCAAATAGTACTCACCAATGATTAAACTTGAAAATAGTGGGAAATATACTCATCAGCTACTATTATTGGGTTTGTAGACAGTCTGATCATTTCAAGTGTCTCGACCCGGATAGGAAAGATACTAGATTAGGACTCGATAAATAGCATCATTTCCATCCATGCCTGTCACTTTCGCCGATAGTCGATGTGATAAGAAATGCGCATTCCAACCTATCGTACGTAGCAGGCAAAGACCCCGCATAGCTAGATAGGTCACTAGTACTCACTCCCAAGATCCCTCCCTCAAAGCAGGAAGGATGATACTACGACACTCTCCAAACCCGAATTTACCCCCCGTGAGCCGGTTAACGCACCATCCTTCCATGATGACTTCGTCTCCGTCTGCAAGGAACTCGAGCCCGTCCTTGCTGGCTTCGGAGAGGATGTTTCTTTTCAGTCCTCGCTCTAGGAGGCAGGCGACTCCGATTTGTTCGCCTTGGGCGTTGAGGCGCTTTTATTGGTTGTTAGTTAGTGTTGTATAAATCTATATAGTAATATGATGGTAGAGAACAAGGGGGGTGTTACATACATCGCTGGTTATGGTGCCCGTGCCGAAGATATCTCCGGTTGAGAGACCCTCGCCTGCACTACAGAGATGGGTAACCTGCTGGAACGGAGTCCAGTAAAGCTCCTTTAGATTTGTTTCTGTGACGGTGTAGGATTTTCCGTTTCCTGTAAATCTCTCAGTGTCGTGTCATGGTGGCCCAAGAGTGGAGGGGCGATGACGAGGAGCGGTGAGGGGAAGGCTTACTGATAACCCTCGCTTTCAATTCAATGTCGAATGTTGCCTCGCTTTCCTTGCCCTTCCATGCTAGGTGTTTCAAGGGTGCCGGGTCCTGCACCCTCGCATTACAATGTGACCCCTCCAATGCCTCGATAGGCACAATCCATGGTGAGATGCTCGTTCCCGAGCCCTTGCTGTGGAATGGGCCCAGTGGTGCCATCTCGTATGTCTGGATATCCCTTGCAGACCAGTCATTCAGGATGACTAGTCCGAAGACGTGGTCCTTTGCGTTGTTGATGTTGAGGATCTCGCCTGGGGGAAGTGGATGGGATAGGTAAACGCCGATTTCTAGCTCAAAGTCGAAGCGTGCGCTGGGTCTGAAAGCTGGTGGGTCGTTGGGTTTGTTGGAGTCGAGCGTCACGCCCCAGGGTCGTCGGATCGGAGTGCCGGAGATGCGGAGACTGCTTTGCCGTCCGTTGTAGACAGAGGGAATGACAAACCATGAGGCTGGAGGCTTCATGGAGAAGAGTTCGGAGCACTGGTGTTTTGAGTGTCTGAATGTAGAGAGTGATGATGGGGTAGACGTACGTTTCTGGTGTGTTCGAACGAACAGTAAAAGTCGCTGAAGTTCTTGGTTTCCATTGGGAGGTGGTTTTGCACTTTTGAGAGGGGAATGGCATATTTTTTGCGGATATCATTGTCGGAGAGAAGGTCGACAAGCGCTGCTCTGGTCTGTACGTGGGCTTCTTTGGGAAGAGAGGCGAACTTGTTCAAAGTTGGCTGTAGAGATTAGGCCTTGTTTATTAGAAAATCAAGGAGGGACTGGTGTCTATCAGATACCATAGAAAAGACTTCGCTTTTGAATCCTGGAATCGACTTGAAATATCCATCCTTCTCAAGTGCACTCAGATCTATGACATCGTCCTCCAGAATAGTCGCGCATCTTCGAGTTGGTGTCTCCGGGGTGGAGATTACACCGTAGGGAAGGTTGTCGATGGTGAAGGGCGTCTCGGTTAGGGTCATTGTGCCTATATGGAGTTAATCCTAGTGACAAGTAAAGATCTCAGGAGCTTACGAGCTGGAGAATATTTATCTCATGCTGAATGAGGGGTGCTTGGGTATCACTGCAGCAAGTGCGACTCGAGAGGGGACTGGAGCTCGGACCAGCTGCACGACCTATGCATTGTTCATTGTTAACTTTTTTCCGATAGCAACGGAGTAATTTCATCGCGATGAGACCTGCAATCAAGGGACAGATATCTTATCTGTACAATATGGTGCTAGTCGAAGTCAAACTTCAGGTCTTAGTATCTTCAGATGCAAGGGGCTCACCACCACCGCCGCCATTATGAAACTCCATCGAAGCAGAATACAATCTCTCAACCACCAACTTTGCGACAATGTTCGATGAGGAGAAGACCCAGGAGGTTGTTCATGGCCTCAAAACCACCCCTGATGGGCTCGTGCTCGACCCGCAGCCATCAGATGACCCTAATGATCCCTTGGTATGTTCTTTGTCCAGTTTAAGCGAATAAAACCTGACGAAACCAGAACTGGAAGCCCTCGAGAAAGGCGCGTGTACTTTCGATATGGGCTATTGCTTGTTTTTCTAGTCAAGCCACTGCTATGACGAACATGCAGGGATCATATCTCCAAGCACCTCTGTATCACAAGACGGCTACTCAGATTTCTCTCTCCGTAAGTAGCACACATTGATATAGCAACATGTTGCTGAGGGTAAGAGGTCTCATGCGGGCTCATTGGGATCATGGTCTCCTCTATCCTAGTCGTCCCTCTTAGCCGTAGGTACGGCTCCTGCTTCTGTCTTTTCTGGTCAACCATCGGCATCCTTTTCAGCTCGGTATGGTCTGCCATGATGACTAGTCCATCGGATTACATTCCGTTCGTGATCTCTCGTCTCTTCGCCGGTCTCTGCGCAGGGGTACCTTTAGTCCTTGGCTCCGAGTTCGTCTTGCGGACTTACTTCCGACATCAGCGAGGTAAATGTCTGCATATACTGCATATTCCCTTCCTCTTGGGGGTTGCAATTGGCCCAACATTAGGTGCATATGTTGATGCGAGAGCTTCGTGGCCTATCTCTTTCTGGTATACTGTACCCATGAATGGGGTGTTGGCTCTGTTGATCCTTGTCTTTATTGAAGAGACAGCATTTGCGGGGGGAGAACAAGTGCGGCAATCCTTTACACAAGAAAAATGGAACATGTATATCCGTGGAAGAGCGGTTCCACCACAGCTTAGAGCAAGCTGGAAGAACATGGTGAGTCTTATTCTTAACGCATCACCAGCACTCGTAACTTAGGCTCATATTTAAAAGGTATCCATTCTTTTGGATATCTTCCTAGTGTCCTTTTCTCCTGTGTCAATAATCGTGGGTTTCGTCATGATGGTAGACTTTGGCTTTGCTTCAATGGCCATTATCCTCGGTGTCACCTTCGTTGAAGCCCCTCGAGACGAAGGTGGATACGCAATGTCAAAGATTTCGATGGCTTCGTGTACAACCCCTGTCTCCCCCTAATTCATTTCGACCGTTAACTTAGAACCACAGTCACGCTCACCCAAGCAATCGGCACCGCACTCGCGGAATTATACGGCCACTTCATCAGCGACAGACTTCCTTTAAACCTGTTCCACCGAAAGTCCAAGTCGCAGGACATTGAACCTACAGAATGGCGCCCAGAATACCGGCTTCACTGTCTCTGGGTCCCAGTGATAATGCTTCCCATAGGCCTTGGCCTATTTGGTGCTAGTTTAGAGTACCATTACCATTGGGTGCTTTTGGCACTCGGGTTTCTTCTCCTCACTTTCGGTGCCATCTCCCTTCTCCCGGTTGCAATGACGTATCTCTGTGAATGTTTCCCGAACCATGTTTCAGAGGTGTCGGCAGGCATGGGAGTTTGGAGGCTTATCTTGGGAGTTCTCTCGGCTGTCTTCATCGCCCCATGGAACGATAGAGTTGGTCCGGGATGGGTGTTCGGCTCTGCTGGGCTGATTACGCTCCCAGCTTTTGGAGGTGTCATCGTTCTCATGGTATTTGGGAAAAAAGTGAGGCAGATGGGGGTTCGTAGATTGAGAAGCTGATGGGAAGTTGCGCTTTGGGTTTTAGGCCGATCAGCTATGGTGAAGCTGGCTATATCCCAAGTTGTGGGACATAAGTGGTAGAAGGTATTACTAAACCGATAGATGGGTGTCAGGACAATTTCAACTGCGTTCACTTTCGTCAGATTCTCCATGATCAGGTGACTACGTCCTCGTGCTTGTTTGTTTTCCTAGGAGTCACCCATCTTATACTTCCGTTGTTCCTTCAAACGATAGACAATCAGAACAAAAAAAACTCTCTCTTCATATCAAGCAAAATATGATTCCAACTTGGAGTCACTCTAAATACTTCAAGATAGCATACCATGCTAAACCAAACACAGATAAGACCCCCCCCCCCCACCAACTCTACCACGCACAATGCCCCCCATCAACGCGCAAATCCGCCCCCGTCATAAAACTACTCCCATCCCCAAGCATGAAAAGCACCGGTGCCCGGAACTCATCCGCCGTACTCAACCGAAACAGCAGGTTATCACCCACCCACTGGCTCTCCATCCTTGGCTTCTGAAGCGCTTCTGCCGTCGCCGCAGTCCGAATATACCCAGGTGAGAGCGAATTAACCCTAATCAAAGGCATCCCGACCCTCGATCCCCACTCGGCAGCTAAGGACCGCGTGAGTTGATGAACGGCCGCCTTGGAGGCGTTGTATCCGGCTGTATCGACGCCCTAGTAACAAGTACCATGTCAGCCCACTCTCTGACACAACCGGAGAAGATATTGCCCCAACCTTATTCGACACATAACCACTCATACTAGCCACAAACACCATGCTCCCGGTAGTATTCGTTCTGAGCATCTCCCGGGCCGCCGCCTGCGCGATAAGAAACGTCCCCGTCACATTGATATCAAGTATCCGGCGAAACGACGAGACGGGGAATTCGGTCGCGGGACCATTGCGGGATAGGCCTGCGCAGGCGACAAGACCCTTGAGTGGATATCGCAGGGTAGGGATGAACTGGGTGAAAGTTTTCTCTACACCTGATTCGTCCGTTACGTCGAGGGGGTAGTAGGTTAATTGACTCGCGTGCGTTTGCGCGGCGGCTTCGACTTTATCTGTAATCAGACGCTGGTTAGGGGCACTCCCCTCTTTGATTAAGTTAAGATGGGGAAGGACGTACGCCAATGCGGAGAATCCGGGACGGGTGCGAGATCAAGACAGACGACATCACCGCCGCTTTCGAGGATCGCAATGGCGAGCATGGTGCCTAGGAAGCCGGTAGCGCCGGTGACTGTATGGAAGCGTTGCTGTTAGCAGGTCCATGTAATACAGTAATACCGGATTCCAGGAGATATACTTATGATAGTGCGATTATCAAGACGAAAGAGATCAGCAACAGGACGAGCAGGATCTCCCTGCGAGGGCTTTGCCTCACGGAACTCGGGGCTGTGGACGTTGCAATCGCTTCTCGTGGCCATGATGAGCAGATGATATGCAGAAAAGATAAAGGCGATAGACAAAATGCGATGAATTCCTGGTCAGTATAGGCTATTTAAGTTGTGTGTAAGTGGAATCACAGAACCCAGGACCTTTTTATACTCCCGACCCCGCATAATGAGGGGCTATCATAACAACTACTTACTGCACTTCCTTTTCCCCCAATGTGCAAGTCGCATCTGTGCTCCGTCATATGCATGGCACTACGTAAACTGGACACGGCGGGTATGCGGCCCGCCTAATCCCCATTGCCTGAGCTACTGCGTAAAGTGGAGTAACCAAGAGATTTTGGTTCCCACTCCTCAAGTTCCTATCCGCTTATCCCCACCGGTGCCGAAGGGTGCAGCTTACGGCCCGACCGCGAGTTATGGTATCGTCGGACTTCGAGTGGGTCCTAGAGTAGAGTTTCTGATGAGTGCATGTTTTGGAAATTATTTGTGTGATAACACTTTTGATATATAATTCTGTCTTTGTTTATATAGTTCTTCCCTGAAGTTGCGAGTTGTGATAGACAATACTTGCGGTGCGGCTTGGAAGCGTGATTTTGAGCTACTAGTAATGCTTCTACCTTCCCCAATCTTCAGACAAAGAATGAGCACCTTAGTTCTATAGGTAAATAACTGGTATTGGCAATATGAGGTTTCAAGGCGTCAACAATGACATTAGCAAAGACACTAAGGTTTGACAAACACTCTGCTCTCTCTAGCATAGACCACTGCAACTTATTCCAACAACAACAATCCATATCAAACCAGTACACGCCTCACCCAGCAACCTAAACATTAATTTTGAGCGATCCAAGGGCACTACCTAAGCAATCCTCCTCCCCCTTCAGTTCATCCGACAAGTCCATCAAGTCGTCCAAACACCCAACGTCCCCAGAATCCGGAAGAAGCTGATCGTCGCAACCGGTGGTAGCAGTCGTAGCTACCTCCTGTAAGCGACCATCAGCATTGCCAACGATAACTTTGGCTTTCTCACATTGTGCGTCCTCATCAACGTCCATTTTACCCTCTCCCAGGACCTCGCCACTCTCGGAAATCGGAGGAGTCTGCTCAGGTTTATTCGTAGCACCCTCGAGCGTAGAGCCTTCACCACTACTTTCGCCATGATGAGCTATCACATTGGCCTCTTCAGCCACTACTGGTGGCACAACTATCTTTCCCTTGGAATTATAGAAACGGGCGATAAGGTCCTCGTGCTCCGATTCCCAGCGCTTTATATTTCGTTTAGCGAGCATTATGTTTCTGGTGAGTCGCTGTAGTTCACGTCCCTAGATATTGCATGGTACATGTATCAGTGGCAAAGTTCAACATGTAGATAGGCTGGAGTGCCATACCGCATCAGCCATGGCCATTTTCTCGATAGGCGCTCTTGGACGATCGGTCTGGTCTGTTTCATATCTCTTTTTGTAGGACCTCTGGAGAAAATATGAGCCAGAGTTTGCGGATAAGTTGGAGAAGAGCAGATGGTGTGTCTCACTCTGGGATGCATGGTGAAAAATGAGGATCGCTAACGTCTGGTGTATGGAGTGTGATGATTATAGGTGTATAAGGATATAGCTGATATTCAAGCGAGTGTAATGCCGTGCAGCAAATAATAGGTAAATGAAACGGTGATGAGTAGAGTGTAAGGATGGTTTCAGGAATGTGATGAAGGGTGTAGCTTAAATTGGTGCAAGAGAAGGAAGGTGCTCTTGTGTTCTTTTTCTATCAAGAAGGGTTCGTGTACCCCTTCACCACGGTGATCTGTTTGTTTCGGGGCTTAGGGCAAATTGTTCATAGATGTGAAACCCGTTAGAGAGCGTAATGATATACCATGCTATAGGTATCTTCTGTGTGTATAGGTTGCCAAGGTAGAGGTCCCGAGTATAAGGTGCAACATAAATCGGGGTCAGCGGCCATGCTCCTGGACGCCATGGTTGCTTAGCTGGAAGGGACTCTTTTTCAGATCAACACCGAAGCTTTATATAGTACCTTTAGCCATTTTCACCGGCATATATCTTGAAGGCTGGATTATATTCACAGCTGTATTCTCATCTAGCACCGTCATACAGTGCATTGCCAGTTCCAGGCATCCGCATAAAAGCAAAATTGCTGCAGTGCATGACAGAAATGACTCATTCTCACAAATATGAATTACAACTCCTTGTGTGAATTGATAGTATTGCTAAGTTGAGCCTTGGATGAATGAAATACGGGATTAGGTTCACAAATATGATAATCACGTACTACAAAATAAAGACCCTTTTATAGGCACAGCTACCCATTAGGCTACCTTATATTTTGTGGGATACTTCCGATTTTGCGTACACAGGATTCACGGGTATCTCCGACAGATTAGATTCTTCCACAAATATGTCTATAGTTTCATCATCAGTTGCAATCTAAAGTCCTTTCTCGAGGAGTCGTATCGATCGAGTTCTCAGATAGTCTGTCAGATTTTGTTTCTGGTTTGATATATAAGTTTCTATTATTGATATTAAAGACAAAGGCCTTGTTCACGGTCCATATCTATTACTACTGTAAAGGCCGTTACACCGCTCCCGACTTCCACTGCTGTTATGGAAGAGACAGAGTCAACCTGATAATTAGATGGAATTAAGAATTAGTAAATGTGAATTACAAATGTGGAGCTGCAAGGCTTTTTAGATAGACTGTGTGCGAGCATCTTGACGATTTGTCAGCTAATCTGGCGACTGCAATCCATGCTGCATTAGCGACATCGAACGAACAGGTTGCCAGCATGGTACAACTAAAACACACAAGTAGATCATTGGTCATAACATAATTTATTAAAATATAGGCTTTCAGCTACCACGCACTTTGTAAGCGAATGCAAAAATGGTACTCGGTAAATCCTGCAGAAAAGAACAAAGAGATGCACACATAAGATGGCCAGTAAAACCTCAAGACAAAGTGGAGGCATGCAACATCTGCAGACACCACAAGAGGCAAACGCCATGGTCACCTGATCTCTTTGTACTCTTCTTGTACACTGATTTTCGCGAGTCATGTTTCATGTTGCCGCGGGAGCTACTTACTTACTACAGCTGGAAGACCCAACTGCCGTTCTATTGGTACAAACCCACAGCTAAAGGCAACCTACTATGACTAAAACTTCAAGCTCTAGGACCCCTACTAACGGGATTTTCGGGATGATCTGCATTTCTATGTCAGGTTAGCTGTCATCCATCAAACTCCGCTATCGTTGCCGGTACATCCGACATGTTCCTAGGGCATCAATACAGGGTAAAAAGCACATCACTGGGTCTAGCACTTCCACTCAGGCATTAAGAATAGCATTCTAGGCTACTATTGGATATTCTCCCCTTATTCAGGAAGCTTAAAAACCGATAAATCCCTCTTCAAGTGGCCAGACATCCCGACATGGTCGTGCATCTAGTACTTAGTACCCGACAAAGCAGCAAGAGCTTAGATAAGACAAAGAAAAAAAGAAGATCCTTCCTAACTAATCACCAGCAGGCAGGATCAAGGCACGCACGAATAGGATCAACCATCGGAATTAAACAAAGGCGACTCGGAGTCAGTAAAGTAAGTCGGACCCAGCCCATCGGAGTACTAGACCCTGAATCCACAGCTACTTACCTACCTGCCCACCGAACCCAGCAGAAACCTACTACTAACAACACCTGCCCTTCTACAGGGAGGTACATCTCAGCACACCGAGATCATCCCATAAGAAGAAGTACTACACCGGTACCCATGAGGGCAATCCCACCACCACCACCACCACCGACCCTCCCGTCCACAACCCACCGAACGAATAATAGATGGAAGTTCCCCCCAATGCAGTCGCCACCCGGCAGCGCGGGCGAACAGCTGATCTGAGGTTCGAGAATTATATTGGCGCTTGCTCCTTTACCCTTTCCCGTTGTGATGTACCCAGTAGTTAGGATAGTAGAAGGCGAAATATCTGGCTGCCTAATAGCGAGAGTGGGCCTGGAACCTGCTCGCTGTGCGCTCCGTTTGGAGGATGGCTTGCTGTAGGCGTTCGGGGAGGGCTGGGCTTTAAATATAAGCTTATTTGGACGTCTTTTGATGCTATACACCTGGGTTTGATGGTTTCTTTGTCGTGATGGTGATGCTTTCTATGGTCATGAAGGGTACGGAGGAACGCGGAAATTGTTGCCGATTCAGGATGGTCACGTGCTGGTGTGTGTGAGGGTAGGGTTTTTATTTTTATTTATTTATTTATTCCTTGGTGATAATATTTTGTTTGATAAAATTTGGTTTTGATTATCGTGGTAATTTGTCTATCTTCGGGCTTACGAGGAACGAGCGACACTAAGCGAAAGCATGCTTTCTCTGGGTTTCTCTCTCTCAAGGATTACTGTTGGTGTGACTGCCGCGTTGAGGATAGAGTCGGAGCCAGAGTGGAGCGAAGTGGGTACTGTCAATATAGCGCGAGGGAGAAAAAGGTACTAACAATGAAAAAAAGCGCATGATGTTCATTGCGAATACCACATAAGACGGAAGAATCCGCCTCTTCCTGTTGTCCCACGTAGTATCAAAGCGTGCGACGATCCATGACGGCATGACACACGAGGGACAAAGAAGAGGTCGGACCACTGGGCTGCACCTGCACGAGCAAGGATAACGGGTGTGATAATGGCCAGGCCAGGCCAGCCACGTCATTTCCAGATTGGCCTACACGCGTAAGAGTAATCAATCCATCAATCTAGCCGACTCCGCAGGATGGACTTGCATCCCACGACGACGTATATGCGACCGTCAATCCATGCTACATGAGGTAAATACGACGAGATCTCTTGTCTCCAGCATCCCCGGACGGTTGGCTAGCAGTGAGAACTGAGAACATGCCAATCTCCCTTCCCCTCCGCATTAAACGGTGGATGACCTTGTGATCATCGCGCAGTGACTTCGAGTATGTCTCCACGAGCTGATGACGACGAAGGCGATCGGTGAAAAAGGTTTCAAAATCCAACACCAACGGGAATTTGCCTTCTACGAGCCGCAAACCCCGATCCGAGGGACCCTAGAAGTCGCTAGAAGAATAGGAAGAATGGAACACTTCTTACCAAGACAATGTCTGACACAGGAGGCCAGAGAGACGGAGATGAGCCGGAGCCAGGAGATACGGATACGGAAGACTAGCGGACGAGCGAGATGAAGAGTTTAACGGAAATACGGCCAGAAGAGCGAGGCGCGGGTGGGGCGGATGCTCGGGTGGGAAGTCCGAGGCGCGGTGAATTGCCTGATCCAGTCAGAAGCCGTCTGGTTCGAGAAAAAAAAAAAAGATGCGATCGTTAAGAAAAATTTTGCAAGACCACTCGGGAACCATAGGGCCTGAACATGAGGGATAATCAAGAAACTCTTGGGTAATACCTACCATTGTCCTCCGTAGGTAGGGAACCGACAAATGGATCGTCAATAGCTCCTCACTTCAAACAATCGCCCCTTCGTTCAAAGCCAAGCCATGGCAACATCCCTATAGGGCAGAGGTAGGCGGAAATGGCAAAACAAGAAGTGAAATTTAGCCTGGCTCATAAAAACTTGGGTATGAAGGCCTTCGAGATCATAATTTGAAGTGGTCCGGCTTCGGGAGCGTTGCTTGTGAGGAGAAGTAAGCATTGATTGCCAAGGCCGTGCTCATTTTGCACGGCGGGTGCCCATTGATCAGCTCATCCGTGATGGGCCTTTGCATTCCACTACGCGATGGAGACAGCTTGGCGCGCCAGGAACAAATAAACGAACGGCTCGGGCTCGGTGTATAGACTAGAGAGCTGATAGCCTTGGTGGACACCATCAGCAAAACACCCTGGACGGATCACGGCACTAGTTAATGGTAGTGGTGGGTGCTAAGAAAACATGTACGTACTGTGGTAGTGGTACACAGTAAGTACCCTGGGAAGTGGGCTACCCAGCTCCTCTACAACACTAATTCTCTACTAGCTCCAACACTAGCAGCTCCCTGAACCATCGCATCACTTCATGAAGACGACCACTGTTACCAGTCAAGCTGTTAAACAACGGCTCTGCTGGTAAAACTCCGGGAGTCTAAAAGTAGTATTTAACTGTTAGGCTCGCTTGCAGTCAATCAATGGTGAACAAATTATCCGAAGTACAGTACATCCCAGTGGCATCACAGTAGCTCTGGTGATCAGAGGGGAGAAGAGGTCCGTGATGTGGCCGGCAGACCCTTGACTCATTCCAGGGTCGATAATCTAGTCGAATACAAAGAGTTAACGTGCGTAGTAGCGACAGCTCCTCCCCCTCTCCCAGCAAATAGTTTACCGCCAAACTAACAGGGGGGCTGATTCCTGTGAGGAGATGACCCTGCCGCCGTAGTCCAAGTAGTGGTAGCCGTTATTCTCCAAAGGCAAATCCCAAACAACGGAGCCAGAGCCAACGCGCATCGCCCATGACTCTCCTCCATTCTCCATCCTCCGGTTCGTCGCTGCCGTCCCTTCCCGTGCTGCTCTGGACCTGCCACTTCCGACTCTTCCGATGCTTTCCAGATCCGGTGACAATGGCTAATCCACAGTGGCCATCGCTAACTTCCCATGGCAGGTCATACGGCAAATCAATCAATATTATTAAGATCCCCCCGATGGCGCCGCCCAGCGCCGTTGCAGAGGCACCTCACTGTTACAGGAAAGAGGAGTCAGAAAAAAAAAAAATCCCTCCGTTGCAGTGCTTATAAATTAAAGCCTAGCCCCGCCTTTCCATCCTATCGAGGGAAAAAAAAAGAGGGAGAAATCGCATTGCGACTCTGGCATGGCACTTTCTGGACAACGAAAATAACCGCCGTCTCTAGTCTCTCACCCACTGCCCTGTCACCAATCCACCCTCCCCCAAAACACTTCCCTCACTCCTAAATTCGCACTGCTGTCGTTGCTTCCAGCTGTTGCTGTTGCCGTTGTTTTTTGTTGCTGTCAACGCCGCGATCAAGCTCTTAATCTTATAGCGTGAAGAAATGGATACCCAAACAACCGTCTTGGCGTCGCGCCAGTCCGGCCGGAGCTCCGAGAGCAGCTCTCTGGACGCTGTTGAGAAGCAGAAGCTCGCCAACAAGGAGCTTCCCCAAACTCGCCCTGATCTGCACAATTCGGCATCGCCCAAGCGATGGAAGACCTTTTGGAAGGCCTTCCGGTATCTGAACAACCTCACCCCCAAGCAGGTCGATGACTTCATGGCATCCTACGTCATCTACAATCTCGACTGGTCTGACGAGAAAGCGATGATTGAGACGCTAGGTCCGGACTATCAGGCAAAGGTTGGCGACTGCCTCAAGGCGTACTATGGAGTGCTCAACCACCTGTGCGCGCTGGGCGACGTGGAGAAGATGTACATCCCCCCATTTATGAGCAAGAAGGCGACCGTGCTGGAGAACCAGTTGTTGTACGAGGAATCAATTGCGCAGGATATCGGCCTTAGCGCCGGCGATCACGTGTTGGACCTGGGTTGCGGTCGCGGAAGAGTGGCCGCGCACATGACGCAATACTCCGGCGCGAAGGTCACGGGACTCAACATCGATCCCAATCAGATTGGCCAGGCCAAGACTTACAATGAGAAGCTCGGATTCAACAACAATTCTTTCGTCGTCCAGGACTTTAACAACCTTCCCCTGCCCTTCGAGGATGCTAGCTTCGACGCTTTCTACCAGATCCAAGCCCTCAGTCTGTGCAAAGACCTTCCCTCCCTCTTCCGCGAAATCTACCGCGTCGTCAAGCCCGGTGCCAAGATCTCCCTCCTCGATTGGGTTAGCCTGCCCGACTACGATCCGAGCAACCCCGAGCATACCGAACTCATGCGTCGCGTAAAGCCTCTGATCGGTGCTGTTGGCACTCCCACCCCCGAAAGTCTCGAGAAGGCCCTTACCGATGCCGGCTTCTCTGTCGTCCGCTCCGACAATGCCAGTGTTGGAGGCCTGCAGGCACCCCTCATCGACAAGGTTGACTTCTACTTCCGCTCCATGCGCCAGGTCATTTTGGGACTGGTCAAGACCCACGTGTTGCCCCGCCACTTTAAGACCCTGATCAACCGCTTGTGTCTCGACGGCGAGGCTTTCATCAAGATGGATACCATGCGACTTGTGACAACCAGTTATCGCATCATCGCCCAGAAGCCTCTTCAATAGACTATACATACTGAACGGGACTGGGTAAAGGGAATCGGTCATTTGCTGTACATCGAGGATTCATCCACGCGGAATAGGGTCACCGCCCTTGCATCCAGAAAGCAGGCCATTGTTTGTGGGCTGGGGTTTCAATGAGACCCCGACGGTGATAGCTGGATGGGACGCTTTCACTCATGCAATATTCCGCAACTGGATGTTTCACGTCTGACGCATCTCTCTCCGCAATATGCTGATGATAAGAGCGAGTCACTCAACTTTGGCACATTCGAGTTCGTCACGTCGACTTGATCGCCGCATCTTTCCCGGTCCTGTGGCCGCGGCGCGTTTCTGTCCATAAAGTGAGTGCCTGCTAATGTCCCAACATCGCACGCTGGCCTCGCTGCACAAAGCGTTCATCTATTGTACGATTGTACGATCGGCTTTCTCTGACTTGGTTTTGAAGATATTTGTTTTTTTCCGGTTCGCATCTATATACCCTATAATCTCTGGCGGCTTTGCGGGTTTTACCCATTTCATGACCCCATGGCAGAGCGCCCCGACAGTTCTTTGTTACCAACGCTCGCTCGCTTGCATTCTTCCTGGTCATTTGGGTTGCATCCATCCTGCGTTGTATTTCTGTTCAGCTCTGCGAAGCCTAGCCGGTGTTTTTGGTGTCTCGCATATGGTTTCGTTTCATTCTGATCTTAGGATACCCCATGTAGATAGGGCTGTCCGTATAGAAGTACATAGACTAATACCACTTTCTTCTGCGATGACTGTCAATGAGAGACTGCAAAGCCAAGTATGCCAACGGACCGAGTATCACCGATAGTTGGTCGTGCTCTCATTATGCTAGTCTGGCAAGCCGCCTTGTGATTTACGTAAGGTATGCCGGCGAATCCGATACACGTCACATGACCACGGGATGTCGGGGGATGCCTCGACCAGACAATACAACAACATGCCTCTGCCTTCATGCACGCCATAGGCTTTT